AGGGGAATTGGACGGGGGTGGGGTGAGAGGAAGAGGCTGGCAGTATATAAGTGCATCAGGAGGAATTTTAAAACATTATTGTTGCTGGCAATAGAAAGACCCTGGTCCTTCCACCTTAAAAAACAAACATCAGCATCTGCTTTTCCTGGAAACTTTGCTTTCTGCTTAAACCTTCTGCATTTTCCCTCCTGTGAAAGTGAAAGAGAAAAACGCAGTGTGATGGATCCAGATGCAAAAGAAAGCCAACTCGGTGGATGGTATTAGCTGTGACGAGGCATTGTTCATTGCTGCCTCTCGGTTACGTTTAAAGCCTGAAATATCACGAGATCCATTCAATGATCCTTCTCTCATTCAAGGGACAAAAATGTAATTTGCTGTAGCTCTGATTTCTTGGATGGAAATGCTAGCCTTAGATTTCAAAGGCAAGAACTAGACATCGCGGTTTGTACACACATTGATTAAGTTGAAGAGCGGCGATTACATCTGTGCTGAGTGCAACAGTAGTCCAGGGCTGACTTTTCAAATCCCAACCTCTGAGTTACAGACTCTCTTAAATAGACTTCCTTAATTTCCGGATGCACTTCTTGAAATTCCCAATTCTCTTCAAAATTCCTGGGAAATTACAAGGGAGATGAAGGTGGGGGTGGGGAACTATGGCCGAGATTTCGTGCAAACTACCTTTTTGTATAAGATTCCTGGTTTTATGTTTGGGTTTTTTTTTTTTTTTAATCTTTTCTCTTTTTTGGAGCCATACCTGCTTTTGCTAGCCAAATCAGAGGAGTGGAAGCTGAAACTTTTGGACATAAAGGAATAAATTATTGTACATTTTTTTTCTTGCAGGCTCAGAAATATCCATTTATTCTTTTGACCTCAGGGATGTGTCTATTTTTGAAGGAACAAGGAAACATAAATGCCTGGGTTACATTTATGCTGTAGTTGCAAACACCTAACAGTTAAGAAGATTTTGCCGAATTTTGCAAAGCAGCCAACAAACCACCTTGGGATCGTGGTAACACAACTGGGAAGACCCGTGCTCTTATTTGGCAGTATTTTGGATATCCTTGAAAATGACAAAATATACCTTAATTTGAATAAGAAGAGGTTAAACAATATTGATATTCACCCAAAGTGATTTTTTTTAAAAAAGCAGATACTTGGCTTTCATGGAGGAAAAATGGGAGTTGTGGAAGATTCATTTAAACTACCAAGTAAAAGCATTATAGACCACTGAAATAGTCTGCATTGTACATCAGCACTTTCTTTTCATCGTTATTACGTAAAACCTCTGGAAGTACTTTGGGCGGTTTACGTTTTCTTTTCTTTGCTGCAGAAGCAAGCTGCTCCCTGGAATTCTGACCTGCGGTGAATAGGACCTAGGCAAAGGCTGTGCTGGGGACTCCAGGGCGATCCCGCCTCCAATCCAGCCTGGTTAATTGTGAAACGTGTACACATTTCTAGCTTATCTATGCTTTGTTATGGGTCTGACGTGAAACTACCTCCTCCCTACACCACCCCCCAGCAGAGAACCCAAATCCAGATGAATTGTTACAGTGTTTCGGAGCCGGAGCCCTGAACTGCTTCCTTGGTCAAATAACTTTGTTTCTGGTTGTAAAAAGGTATTGCAGGAGGTGGGGGGAAAGGAAAATCGAGCGAAATTCAAAACGTAAGTCCGTACTGGGGCGATTCACCGCGCGGGTTTAACTTTGGAGCTCGCAGCCGGTCTCCTTCCCCATTCCCATAAGGGAAATACCAGGCTATTCTGCACATTTTCACTTACGCTCCATTTTCCAAAGGAAAAGGGGGGTGGGGTGTATGTATTTAGGCTTGATAATGTTTTTAAAATGCTTTTCTTTGAAATGATAATAGCTGTAGCGGTAAAATGCAAATAAAGCAAAAAATAGGCAATATTCCTTTAAAGGCGAATATACAGGGGTTTTTTTTTTTTTTTTTTTTTTTTTTTTTTTTTTTTTTTTTTTTT